TACAGCACCATTTTAGCTTACTTGGGGTCTTCCATGTAAAATCTGTTCTCAATTTTACTAACCTGGCTATGCGAGTTCCATACACCACAAAAATCATGCCACCCACTGCTGAAATGCAGCTGTATCTGGGGTGGAACGGGGCCATAATGCTTTCTCCACAGTGACCATTATTTGAGAAAAATGGTGCAAAAAGAAAGCGGTTCAGATGACACGTGGAGAAGTGCACGAGTAATCCAAGCTCCAACGCTGCAACAAGCAAGTGCAATGCAATGTGCCCACATGCGGAGTCATTGCTGGATGACACCCTTAGGACTAGGCGGGCGAGGCAGCGTCTTTTACTGCACCTTGTCTCGCTAATATCCCGGGATCAGCAAGGCCCCAACGCCCCCGCATCCAGCCCTGACAGCGCCACCCCGCAGACTCCTTTCGGGAGACACCCAGAGAATGACACACGCCCCCTCCCGACCTGCAAACCCCTCCCAGGAATCAAGGGCCTGATCGCCGCTCCTCCCCCACACGCTCCCCTCTGCAGGGAGTCAGGACAGGTCGGCACCCACTAGCCCCCCCCCCTTGCACAATTCCCCGCGCGCGGCGCTGCACGCTGGCCAGGAGCGCGAGCTGCCCCCCCTCCCGTCCCGGGATTTGAAATTCCCGCGCTGGCCCGGGCCCTGCCGGTGGTTGCGCTGCCGCAGCGCCGCGCTGGAGGAAGGGGGGAGGGGGCTGCGCGAGCGGCTCCCGGCGAACGTTCGGAGCGCGGGGCGGGGGGGGCGGCGCGGGCTGACACTCGGCGTTCCACGCGTGGAACCTTCGGACACCGCCGCGCGGCGGCGGCCACGTGGGGCCGGTCCAGGCCTCGGCCCCCCCACCGGGGAGGGGGGAGCCTCAGAGCCCCCGGGCGGGATCGGTGCATTCCCCCCCTCCCCGCTTCCACCCCGGCTACCGCGGGAGGGGGATGGGAAGCTGCACCGGGGCTCTCACCTCCCTGCTGCTCCGCCACCCCGGCCGGCCCGCTCGGTCCTCTCTGCCCCCCCACCCCCCTGCCGCCGGAGCATGCGCGAGGAGAGCCCCGGCGAGCGACAGAAAATGGTGCTAGCGACCCCTGCTGGCCACTGCGCGGAAATGCCCCGGGGAGGGCGCGCTGACCCCCGGGCGGGGGAGAAGTCGGGGTGAATTGGGGCCAGGGCAGGGGGGCCGTGCGTGGTGCAAGGCGCCCGCTGACGGGCCCGGTCCTGCCCGCGCTCGCCCCCGGGTGCAGCGTTGGGGCTCATAAGCGTGGGCAGCTTTGCAGGATCTGGCTCGGTGCGCCCCCAATTCTGCAACTGGCCCGGCAGCCAGACCTCGCTGGAGAACCGCGGGCGGACCCCAAGGTCCGCCCCGGGGGCAGGATCGGCTTTGTGCGGATGCAATTGTAGGAGCGGGCAAATTCTGCCCACACGCTTAACTTCAGGCTCCAGTACCTGAACTCCAAGGGGCTCATCGCACACATGACATGAAAGTGCTTACAGGCTGCACTGTGCATGTAACCAAGACCCAGACCTGTACTGCAACCAACTTCCCTCCTTCCAAGGGATAGACTTTACGAATTACAATTTTGCTCGCTTGTTTTGCTGGTCAGCTGTTTACCATTTTGTAACTTCTAATCCGTGTCATTTCCCCAAGCCCCCTGCTGCAGTCCCCAGGGCCCGAACCCTGAAAAGGACCGTTTCTTGTTTTTTTCAATGCTCCCCCTGGAATTTGGAAACATTTACGTTATTTTATCATTCATAGTGCTGTAGAAATATTAACTAGTCTCCACAACTGCCTTCTATAGGGCCTAGAGGTCCCAACACCACTGCTAATGGCAGATCCACGAAGCAATTCCTGTTTCCTAACTCGGTGTTTTGTCCACTGGACCCTACTGCTTCCTGTGAGGCAATAATGCCTTACTGTACTACTGCATTGTTTACACTAGTTTTGCAATGCCTGGGACTTTAGGTTGGCCAAGAACGGCAATTATAATCTGTAGGCTTTAGGATTGACTCAACTGCTTTTTTTAGGACAAGTTCCTGTTCATTTTGTTGCTTACGGATGACACAAGCAGAACAGCAAGTTTCCTTCCCACTCCACACCTGATGCAGAGCACACATTTATCCTTGGTAGCTCAGGAAGTCACACACGTAACTTTCCTAGCATAGTGGGTGCCCTATATAACATTTTCTTGTGACGGTCATTCACATTAAAAAGTCATCTCCTTTACTATTCTGGTGCAAGACAAACTATAACCCTATCCCCGCGCTGAGATCTTACAGCATAAAAATGGCATCTTTGAGGAAATCACAGTAATTTGGCTTGCAATAGCCCATTTCTCTCCTAATCCTGAATAACAGTATTTTCCTGTCAGGAGAGGGAAGAGGAAAGATGTGAAACAATCAGTGTAAGCATTTATTTCACGAGTGTTGGGGGAAACTGCTCACCAGTTTTTGTGGCACAGCCTCACACTCCCCACAGCAGGCATTGCAATTGCCCGTCGAGTTCCCTTAAGACTGTCAAATGTAGAGCTGCACTGACAGATTTTGTATGGATGCCTAGTGCTCAGAGTTGAAAACCACTAGGTCTAAACTGGCCATGAATAAATTTAGGCTGGAAATTAAGATGTCCAACCGTCAGAGGAGTGAGGTTCTGCCGCAGCCTTCTAATAGAAGTGGGGCAAACAGCCTAACTAATTTTAAGATAGATCTTGATAAAGTTATTAAAGGGATGATGACAGGACAAGGACTGAACTCAGTGACCCAGGAGATTCCTTCCAGTCCCATGTTCCTGAGTCAAAATTCCTACCCCCCGTTGATTACTGCGGCATCGGCAAGTCATTTCTATGTCTCACTTCCCCCTAGTTCCGAAAACACGGGAACTACACGCCAGTCTCACAGGAGTGTTGTGAGGATTAACTAACTCTGGTAAAATGCCTTGAGGCCTTTGGTAAGCAATAGAACAGCCCGAAGTCATATTAGTCATAATTCAACAGAAACTCAATATGTTCTAAAAGGCAGCACAGAGGCTGCAGCAAGGATTGTCCAAACAGGTGTTCAGGCAACATGGCTCCATAACCTATTACACACACTGCACTGCAGAGCGGAGTCATGCTTCCCTTTAGGGCCGTGTTCGCAGGTCTATTGCAAAATGCCTTGCTTACTTAAAGGGAAGCCATTTTAATGCTCCGGCTGCTCTGCAAATATTGAAGCTACAATCTTCACATTTTCTAGGCAAATAAGAGCAGCATGTCAAATTGTGTTAAGGAAGCACAATCTAGGCGAGAGCTTGGTTATGACATGATCAGACGCCTCCCTGTTTAAACACAGATTTTGTAATGTGGATGAATTGTCAGCACGGTTGAAAACCACTTTGCCCTATGTGATCTAAAGACAGCTACATGGCAGTGTGGAGGAAATATCGTGAGAAATGTTTCCTAACCTAGGCAGAGAAAACCAGCATAAATTGTAAGCCTTCTGGGACAGAAATCATCTTTTTGGTCTGTGTTTGTACAGCACCTAGCGCCATGGGGGCCTGGTCCATAACTAGGGCATCTAGGAGGTATGGTGCTACAAATAGAAAATCATATGCATGGAAGGAAGCAAGTTTGAGAGAGCAATTTAAACAAGAATGCAATGAACCGTGTAAAGCCTGCTGCACTGAAGTGGTCTTCAACTGTTTCAGGTTTCTCCTGACAGTTCAGGTCCCCATGTAATCACTATCATGACAAAAACCCTATTTTTTCTTACCCACACCATTAAAATCTCAAGCTATTACAACTTAATTTAAAGATCTAGTTTTGCACAAGTTTCATGTCATCACTACTCCTGTCGCATATGAGGAGGATGGAAATTAGTTTCCATTGCTCATATCATGCTTCAACAATTTGGTTACTCATACAGCAGGGGGATGGTCAAACCGTCACCAAAAAGTATTTCATTCAAGTCATATAATGCCATAGGTATTCATGAGAGACAAGGTGGGTGAGGTAATATATTTTTTGGGACCAACTTCTGTTGGTGGGAGGGACAAGTGTTTGATCAACACAGAGCTCTTCTTCAGGTATTCATGGCATTTTACAGAGAAATAAAAATGTAGGTCTCTGTCACAGTATTAGCAGAAATATTTTCATTAAGGTATTACTAATGCTATGTTTTGCAACAAAAAGTTGGTAAACCCTACACTTTGGGTCTGATAATGACCTCTTAAAAGCTCACCCTGGGCAACCTGGTGGGTAGGAGCCCTATTAAGGAAGTTGACAAGTAAGGTTGCTTCATAAATCCAATAACCACAACTGCTGGAATTTTCATCAGCCAGTTTGGTATCAATGAAGCCTCAGATTGGTCTATTTAGTCCTGAAGAGTTGATACCACTGGAGATGAAAGAGTTAATCCCCAGACATCCAAGGACACAGGGAGAACTCAAGTGCATACAGCTATTTGTATGAAACACGAGAAGTCATCAGGCGTTCCTGAGTCTCACTCTGAGTGAATGGAACATTTAACCAGTCACATCACTGAAGGATATATCAAGATCCAAGCACCCCTGTTTAAAAGCAATTCCTTTATTAGTTATACCACTGAACCCCTCAGTGTCCATAAGATTCTTTATGAAGAAATATTGCAGACTTTCCTTAATACAGTACACATGGGACCTTAGCTCCCAACCTCCCACCCTCTCCCAGTACCTAAAACGCAGTATGACCTGGATTGGGGAGCCCACTGGAACATTTCTATTTCTTTCCAGTTAACATCTCTGACATTTTTCCTGTTTTACTAAAGCTCTGTCTAGACTAGGAGTATGGGTATGCTGTTCGAACACATTAGCTAGTGATCTAGAAGTCTAGTGTAGACATGGGTGAGCGGCCGGCGAGCGCGCGCGCACACACACAATAAATCATTTGAAAGCTTTTTATGTCTATTTTAAGATGAGGTCTGACATGGAGCTGCCAAGCGGTGCCATTACTACAGAAATAACACACTAAAATGCTCACTTTGAAATATTTGCATGTTTCTGTTAGTTTAATGACTCTATGCATTATTTCAAGACACAACATTGGATTTGTGACCTTAAAGCATCTCAACAACAATTTAAAGGGTGAAATAAACTCTAATAATAAATTTGTACAGGTCTCATTGACATTTAATAGTGCTGGTGACATTTCTAGTCAACATCACTATCTTGTTCCCATTATGATCTCTGTGGCGTGTGCATGGGTTACTGTTGAATACTATGCACTCAGCGATTGAGCGGCACCTTCTCTGAATGTCTTCTGAAGGCTGATACTCACTGCTGACTGAATTATGTGCCTCTTTATCTATCAGCCGAAGGACAAATTCCTGCACCAACTGGGGCACAAAAGTAGCAGGTCTCTGTAAATTACAATTACCTGTCTTTGGGTAATATTCCAAGGCTTTCATTTTGGCTATTTCAGACCGAAGGATTGAAGCAGCGTTATACAAAACCACTTGTGCATTTGAAAGCTGATCACCAGGTTCACTCGCCGGAAGCCCATCCAAAAAACACTTGGATGATTTAAGGGCCTGCTTCGGGTTACTAGAAGCTTGGATAGCGTCAGCTAATGTTATCGCGCTGCACAGAATAATGGTAGACTTGCCTTGTCCGTGCTGTGCATGGAATGAAATTGCAGACCCATAGTGTTTTACTAATCTTGCCTGTAATTTGCTACTGGAATAGCTTGCGGTTTCTATCTCTGAGGGAAGTAGGGCTTTGTATCTTTGAAGCAGTTTGGATAGGAGAAGAGCTTTCTTGTTGTCCATAAGATCATTGTCTATCTCTTCAATCAGCCGATAAAATGCAATGTCATAAGGTGACTGTATTGTTGATTGTTTTGCTTTAAGATTGGTTTTACTCAAGTAGGAAGAAATGCATGTTGCGTGATAAACGGCCTCCTTAGCAATCAAGTCTTCCACCGATGCTCTGCGCAACATGTCAGCATCTCCCCTTTGAAGGGCTGCCTCCCTCAGATTGGCTACTCTTTCAAATGTTTCTATTCTATGAAGTTTCTTGTCTTTCTTACGTGTTTTTCTCAGGCAAACAATGCAACAGGACCAATCGCTGGAGGATGTGCTTAAACCGGTGGCTATAGACTCGGATGAGCATGATGCTCTCTGATCAGATTCAGAGTCGGTTTTCCTCCCTGGGTTCAACATAACTCTGACACGTGCCAAATTCGACTTGCTTGTGTATTTCTGAAAGCAACCCCTGTGATAGAGTATTGGTGGCACAGCGTCTAAACTGGAAAACTCACCCAGTAGCCGCCAATACAATTCATCTCTCCTGGCTTCTGCTGCCAGCATCACAGAGTTCTGGCCAGCACTGGTGACTTGTGACAGTTTTGCATTCTTTTGATTTTCTTGACAAACACCACATTTTTCAAAGTTTGTGGACAGTCTTTTTTTCTTTGATCTAAGCTTTAAGGGGCTTGTATCCTCCATGTCTTCACATACCGTAACTGCCCTGTACAGGTAAAATTCCCAAAGTATATTGTTAGCATTGCTCTCACCACTACCACTATTTTTCATTTTTTACTAGTATATAGACTTGTGCTAACTTGGATCTACATTAATACAAAAATTGTCATTTTTGCTTAGTGAGCACTTTGACTGAAGCCCCACTGAAGCTGTGGATTGTCATCTCTAACACTAATACTGACCTGTGCATAAGTGTCACTGAATTAAAAAACTCATTTCTAGAATATTTCAAAGACTAGTACTGCATGCATATGAAATTACAGATTAAAACCTTCTGCCATGCAGACTAGATGCTACATTGTATGTACACAGGCATACAAATGAAGAAGCATTAAATTATGAATTCACATACATTTATATAAGATCGGCCAATGGTCCATCTATCCCAGTATCCTGTCTCTAGCAGCAGCCAGTGCCAGATGCTTCAGAGGGAATGAACAGAACAGGGTAATTTCGAGTGATCCATCATCCCCTGTCATCCAGTCCCAGCTTCTGGCAGTTTGGGGTTTAGGGACACCTGAAGCATTAGGTTGTGTCCCTGACCATCTTGGATAATAGCCATTGATGGGTCTATCCCCCATTAACTTATCTAATTCTTTTTTGAACCCTGTTATACTTTTGGCCTTTACAACATCCCATGGTAATGAGTTCCACAGGTTAACTGTACGTGTGTAAAGAATTTCATTGGGTGAGTCCTAGCTCTTGTGTTATGTGAAGGGGTAAATAACACTTTCCTATTCGCTTTCTCCACACCATTCATGCTTTTATAGACCTCTATTATATCCCCCCCTTAAACATCTCTTTTCCAACCTGAACAGTCTGTCTTTTTAATCTCTCCTCCTATGGAAACTGTTCCATACCCCTAATCATTTTTGTTGCCCTCCTGTGTTTTCCAATTCTAGTATCTTTTTAGTGGTGACGTGACCAGAACTACATGCAATATTCAAGATGTGGGAGTACCAATGGATTGATACAGTGGCATTATGGTATTTTCTGTTTTATTATCAATCCCTTTCCTAATGATTCCCAACATTCTGTTTGCTTTTTTGACCATCACTGCACATTGAGCAAATGTTTTCAAGGAACTATCCAAGATCTCTTTCTTGAGTAGTAACAGCTAATTTAGACCCTATCATTTTATATGTATAGTTGGGATTATTTTTTTTCCAATGTACATTACTTTGCATTTATCAACACTGTATTGGCATCTGCCATTTTGTCACTCCGTTTTGAGAGATTCTTTTGAAATTCTTCGCAGTCTGCTTTGGCCTTAACTATGTTGAGTAATTTTGTGTCATCTACAACTTTTGCCACCTCCCTGTTCCAAATCATTTACCAAGATGCTGAACAGCACAGGCCCCAGTACAGATCCCCACTATTCATGTCTCACTACTGAACACTGATCATTTATTCTTATCTTTTGTTTTCTTTTAATCAGTTACTGACCCATGAGAGGTCCTTCTCACTTATCCTATAGAATTGTAGAAGTGTGGGACTGGAAGGGGCCTCAAAAGGTCATCTAGTCCAGTCCCCTGCACTCAAGGGAGGATTACATATAGCTAGACCATTCCTGACAGGTGTTTGTCTCACCTGTTCTTAAAAACCTCCAATAATGGAGACTCCACAACCTCCCTAGGCATTTTGTTCCAGTGCTTCACCACCCTGACAGGACTTTCCCAACCTATACCTCCCCTTACTGCAATTTAAGCCCATTGCGTCTTGTCCTAGCCTCAGAAGTTGAGAACAATTTTTTACCTTCCTCCTTGTAACCTTTTACATACTTGAACTGTTATGTCCCACCTCAGTCTTCTCTCAAGACTAAGGGTACGTCTACACTACCTGCCGGATCAGCAGGTAGCAATCGATCAATCGGGGATTGATTTATCGCATGTAGTGTAGACGCGATAAATCGATCCCCGATTGCTCTCCCGTCAACTGCTGAACTCCAGCTCGGCGAGAGGCGGAAGCAAAGTCGACGGGGGAGCCGCGGCAAACAACCCCGCAGGTGAGGTAAGTCGAACTAAGATACGTCGACTTCAGCTACGCTATTCTCGTAGCTGAAGTTGCGTATCTTAGGTCGATCCCCTGCCCCCCCCACTGTAGACCAGGCCTAAACAAACCCCATTTTTTCCTCTATCTTTCCTCACAGGTTGTTTTCTAGACCATTAATCAGTGTTGCTGCTCTGGACTTTCTCCAATTTGTCCACATCTTTCTTGAACTGTGGGGCAGAGTTTGACACAATACTCCAGTTGAGGCCTTATCCGTACAGAGTAGAGCAGAAACATTACTTCTCGTGTCTTGCTTACACCACTCCTGCTGATTTATCCCAGAACCATGTTTGCTTTTTTTGTACCACTGTTATATTGTTGACTCTCATTTAGCTTGTCATCTGCTATATAACGCCCAGATACCTTCCCAAGCTATACAACACCCAGGTACCTTCCCACGGTCCTCCTTCCTAGGCAGTCATTTCACATGTGTGCAATTGATTGTTCCATCCTAAGTGGAGTACTTTGCATTTTTCCTTATTGAATTTCATCCTGTTTACTTCAGACCATTTTGATCCAAAGCACTTACAACCCTTCCCAATTTGGTATCATCCGCAAACTTTATAAGTGTACTCTGCGCCATTATCTAATCATTTATGAAAATATCGAACAGAACTGGATCCAGGAGCAATCCCTGTAGGACTCCACTCAATATGGCCTTCCATATTGACTGTGAACTACTCTCTGGGAACAGTTTTCCAACCACCATATGCACCCACCTTATAGTAGCTCCATCTACGCTATGCTTCGTTACTTTGCTTAAGAGTCTTTGGTGAGGGACCTTGTCAAAGGCTTTCTGAAAGTCCAAGCACACTATATCCACTGGATCACCTTTGTCCTTCAAAGAATTGTAATACAGTGGTGAGGCATGATTTCCCTTTACAAAGTCCTGTTGAGACTTCCCCCACATGTGTGTGTATGTGTTTGACAAATTTGTTCTTAATCACACTTTCATCCAATCTGCCTGGTACTGAAGTTAGGCTTGCTGGCCTGTAATTGCCAGCACCGCCTCTAGAGCATTTTTTAAAAATAGGCTTTACATTAACTATCCTCCAGTCATGTGGTTCAAAGGCTGAATTTAGTGATCCTCCCCTACTGACTCCTCAATATAGGACAATTCCTCAGATCTGTTATCTAGAAAGGAATGGCTGGGGTGCAGGGAGCTCCCCCAAATCTTCTGCAGTGAAAACCAACTGAATGTATTTAGCTTCTCTGCAATGGTCTTGTCTTCCTTGAGTACTCTTTTAGCACTTCAGGCTTCCTGCTTCTGTACTCAAAAGAATCTATCTACTGCTACTCATGCACAACCATTACTGGGGGACTGATCTGGTCAGCCAATTTCATTTGAAAAATCAGAGGTATTCACCATTTTCACTAGATATTAATCAGCGTCATCATTCCTGATGAAAATATTTGCCTATACAAACCCAATAAGTCTTAATACGTTGTCATTGGGTGGATTAGACTGATAAATACCACACTAAGACGTTGCAAAGAACAGTAAAAACCGTAGTCAGGCCTGTTGGAAGTGTTTCTGGAACTGTGCAAAATTTGAGTGTTGTAGCTGTGTTAGTCCCAGGATACTGAAACAAGGTGGAGGAGGTAATTTTTCTTGGACCAACTTGTTAGTGAAAGAGAAGTTTTTGAGCTACACAGATCTCTTTTCAAGACAAAGAGCTCTGTGTAGCTCAAAAGCTTGTCTGTTTCACCACGCAGAAGTTGCACCAAGAAAAGATTCTCATCTACCTTGTCTCAAAAATGACACTCGTTTAGGTACCATTGTTTCACCTCACCTACAGGCTAACAGCACCGCTTGACAGCTCCACATCTAAATATAAGCTTTCAAATGATATAGGATGTGGGGGAGTACATTAAACTGCACAAATATGGCCCACGCTGTAGAATTGACACACACCTAAAAGGCATGTACTGAGCTGAAGCCTAGGCTGTAATTAGTGCAGTTTAACATATTTGCCGTGCCGCAACAATTGGTTTTCTGCACAAAAAAGCCAGGGCAAGTATTAAGGGGTAGCAAGCAGGGCAATTGCCTAGGGCCCCTACAAAGCTATGTTTCGCAGGCTTTGATTTCAGCCCCACCCCAGCGAGTAACTCCGGCCCTGCTTGGGGGCCCCTCTGAAACCTACTCACGGATGCCCAGGAGGTACAGACCCCTGGTTGAGAACCACTGCGTTATCCAACATGTTGTAACGCGACACCAGAATAATCCTGGTCTAGGCAAACCGGAGTTAAGTCTACTGACAAAAATAAGACCTGCGACTCACCACGAGTAGCAGCAATTGTGGCAAATGTAGTGAGAACAGGTTACAGAACAGGGTGAGATGAAATTTTACACATATTTGAGTCCTCTGTATATCAATTTCCACCACTAATGCCACCAGTGGGATCTACACCTGGGGGGTATCTGTGGCAGGGTGGACTGATTTAAATCAAGGCAATTTAAAGCATGATTTAAATCACGCAGTGGAAAGCCTGTTTAAATCACTGATTTTAATCAATCTTTCCATTTGTATTTCAGTTATTTTCTAAAGAAAGTTGATATAACCATTAAAACACGTTGATTTAAAACTAAATAGAAAAGCCTTTACGCCAGATATGGTCCATCATTTTCCCTAACTAGAACAGTACACTATAAGTAAACACGTATTTAAGCAATTATATAGCTTAATATTTTCAGATTTTTAGTAATTTATAGTCAATTTTTAGTATAGCAAATGGTGGGTGATATTAATAAATTGCGTATTTACTAATTAAGTATTCAAGATTTGTGTCAAACTGCTTTAAATGGTAACTGAAATTATTTTAACAAACACACAAAACAGCATATAAATTTTATTTTTTATTAAAAAAAACAAGCCCTTAATATAGTACACGACCTATTGTGCCTTTATAGATTGTGCCAATCTATAAAGCTTGACGTCAGAAGCAAGATTTTCCCCTGTTCCTTTCTTTACATCCTTTAAAACTTTTGATAGAGACTTATGGATTCAGTATATTTATTAAAATGTTTGAGATTATTTTAAATTTAGGCCTTAACGTATTTTGTATTAAACTCAGATTTCATTTAACAGATTGAGAAATTACAATTGAAATAAAATAAATAAATAAATTGTTTTTATCCACCCTGTGGTGAATTATGAATCCCATTTTTGCCAAAGTAAATGCAGCCCTATTCCATTTGTTAGGCTACCTGGAGACTATACAAAGCACCATTCAAGGAGTATAAGTAAAACCAGAACTCTTCTATCTGTGCAAAACATATGACCACATCTACATTTTTTCCTTTGCATACCCGTGTTAAACCTTTTCACTGACTTGTTTTCTATAATTTAACCATGAGATCACATCCTGGTGTTTAGGAGTTAGCATACCAAGTCATTAGAATAACTAAACATCAACAAAAGGGAATAAAATATACTACTAAGATACTATCCAGTCAAAAGAATAGGAGACCCGGGCAGGAATGTGAAGAGGAACTGCAGGGATCCTGTTGGAAAATGGATCCAAAAGAGAACTCAAATATGGAACCTGAAAGAGTGAACCCTGTTATCCAGCTGCTTCTTCATTTTACCTGGAGAAAGAATAAAGCTAGGGGTCAGTGGTTTTGTTTTATTGGATTTTCCTAGGTATTTTAAACAAAATATCAGTGTTAGTGAGAGACAGGACAGGGTCATGGTTAAAGCCTATGACTAATCAAGAGACCAGGATTCTATTCCCAGTTTTGAAGGACTTCCTGTGCCTTATTCCCCCCCCCCCCCCAGGCTAATGTTGATTTTTCACAGGGAACTTAGCAAGTTGAATTCAAGAATAACTGCACATCTTGATAAAAATGCACACATGGAAGTACAAATGATTTCCAAAAAGCTAAGACCGTATTGTAGGGATGCCATTCCCTCTCACTTTGCCATAATATGCAGATTAAATCATGCCCCCCAACCCCACAGCTATGGGAGACTATTTCATAGGTGTCAAGATCCTTTCTGCTTCAGGATTCCTGTCTTCCACTGCTCTGCTGCAGTACCCAAAACTAGCCAGCCTCATAATCTCCCAAAACTTCCAGTAGAGAAGACAGTCCCAAAAATTAGAGATTACTTTTTAGGTCACCTTAATCCATCCTCAATGAATTTAAACACCATGGAAACAAACTGAGCATATATATTCCAGGGTGTAATCAATGCCCCACAGTAGTGATTTATGCAAGCCCCAGATTCTCATGCTTTTCAGCAAGGCAAGTTTTTTGTAGTTTCAATTTTCTCATAGCAGGTTATAATCTACATTTGACGACCACACCATGGTCACACAAGTTCAGGTCCAGTCGGTCCCAAATGCCTTAGAAGCTACAAGTCTTGAAGGCTACCTTCTGTTGGCCAAACAGAGTAATTTCTCTGGATAGCTACAGTGACGTGAAACTTCTATGCTGAACTAAGGTATTTTACATCTGATTCCATACAGCTCTTGATAGCAGAAAACTAAAAGAAAATCTACATGTCTATGAAGAAGTAATGGACTGTACACTACTCACCTTTTCAACTGATGCAACACAACATCTGAAGCTAGAAGAAAACAAAAAGTTTGCAGATGAGTTGACGATTCATCCCTATTACATCAGATTTCCTTACAGTTTACTGAAGTGTGTTTTAACACTCATATCCACAAGCCTGGCAATAAAGACGCTATCTAACTGATCCAATGTCTCCTGCATGGTTTATCTCCTCAGTCACAGTCCGAAGACTC